ATAAATAATCAAAATTTCAAAAAATTCCTGGTTTTAAACCATTTTTTTTTTTTTACTGTTTGGGGTGTGGTTTTTAAACTTTACATAGGAACAAACATGCGCAGCAGCAGTTGATAATTTTAGCTTTAATTAAAAATAATCCTACTACTAATACTACTACTAAACAAATAAAAATGGCAAAATTTAAGTGAAAAACACAGGCAGGAGCAAGAGGCACAGATCATGGAAATGGCTGTTAACAAGTGCTATAACGAAGACGTCAAACAAGCAACGACGAACAAAAACAGACTAAACTCTCCTCTCTTCTTCTGCGACACCCCCATCACCTCCCCCTTACCTGCCCCTCCCTTTTTTTTACTCTTTTTATTTATCTCTATTCATTTTCATTAATGCTTCATTACGTCCCAATAAAGACGCCCAGCTACCGGCCACCCACCTCCATCTCCACCTCCACCTCCACCCTTCCCATGCACCTCCTCCCCACCACCCATCCCCCAATTTTCTTTTAATTTCCCTTCCTCGGTTCTCTGCGGCATTTTCACAAACATCCAAACGGCATCCCGTCGACGTACTTCCCATTTATTATACTCTTTCTTAACATGGGACTTTGAGCTCGTTTTCAACAAAGAATCGTATCCCAACGTTGCTAACGTTATCTGTTTGGTTGTCTTCTTCTTTTTTGGTTTATAATCTATCCATGAAATGAAGAACAAAGGAAGAAGTAACAGTGGTTCTCTAATTGGGTTTGGGAGTTTTCTGGGTTTTTCATGGCTGCTTGTGATTTGTTAGGTGAAGGGAATAATGGGAGTGGTGGTAGTAATGGCGGTCGTGAAATTAGTCCACTGACGGTGACGACGACTACCGTGTCGAATAGTAGCAGTGGGAGTAATCCTTCAGAGAGGAAGATGGTAAGGAAGAGAATGGCGCCGGAAGTTGCGGACTACCACCGGTTTCCTCGCCGGAGTTTGCCTTCGGAGAATGTAGTCGGGTGTTCTTTCTTGGCGACGACTACGGTGGGTAATGGTGTGGGTAATTCTAACCCTTTTCTCAACTACTCCACTATGAATGTGAATACGGCCATGGTGTCTCCTGCCGTGACGTCAGCCGGACCTGGTTTTTTATCAACTACTTTACCCAACTTTTCTTGCGTCGAAAACCTACCTGCTAATCCTCCTCAGGCTCCTGCTGTCTGTGGGTTCTCCGGTCTGCCGTTGTTTCCACCTCCGGAGAGAAATCGAAACCCCACCCCCACCGCTAGCACTACGTCTTCATCGGTTGCTTTGGCTCCGATTTCCATGGAGGACTCGACGGCCACCGCTTGGGTCGACAGCATCATCAAGGACTTAATCAACAGCTCCACCAACGTCTCGATTCCACAGCTCATCCACAACGTACGGGAAATCATCTATCCCTGCAACCCAAACCTCGCTTCTCTCCTTGAGTACAGGCTCCGGTCGTTAATGGATCCTCTGGAGAGGAGAAGGAAGGAGGTGCAACCGTTGCAACTGCCGCTTCCGGCGGGGTTGCTGCAGAGGCAAGCCGGACTCGCACTCAACTTGGATCCTGCAACTCTTGATACTGTCTCGAATTTCTCCTTACCGGAATCTTCTGCGCTGAACCCGTACTTAAACTGGGGAATAACTCCGCCGCTTCCAATCCCCACCGGCGACGGAAACGACAACCAGCATCAAATCCCTAATCTTCCTTCCACTGCACCGGTTCTTTCACTAGATCAAACCCAGGATATTTCTCCACCGCAAGTATCTCAGGCTCGGGAACAACCGCTGGAAGAAGAAAACTCTTCGCCAGCAGCCACAGCGACGCCACCTCCAACCACCGCTCCGACGCCCTCGCCCACCGTCCAAACGAGTAGCGCTAGAGACAGAAAAGAGGAGTTAAGGCAGCAGAAAAGAGACGAGGAAGGGTTGCACCTATTGACCTTACTCCTGCAGTGCGCGGAGGCGGTTTCAGCGGATAATTTCGATGAAGCGAACCGGATGCTTCTAGAACTTTCCGAGCTGGCAACTCCGTTCGGAACATCAGCGCAGCGCGTGGCGGCGTATTTCTCAGAAGCAATGTCTGCGAGGCTAGTGAGCTCGTGTCTAGGAATCTACGCTACTCTACCGTCCCTTCCGCAGAGCCATAGCCAAAAAATGGTGTCGGCGTTCCAAGTGTTCAATGGAATCAGCCCGTTCGTAAAATTCTCCCATTTCACGGCGAACCAGGCGATCCAAGAAGCGTTCGAGAGAGAGGAGAGGGTGCACATCATAGATCTCGACATAATGCAAGGACTGCAGTGGCCGGGACTCTTCCACATCCTGGCGTCCAGACCCGGCGGCCCTCCCCACGTCCGCCTCACCGGCTTCGGAACCTCCGACGAAGCCCTCAAAGCCACCGGCAAACGCCTCTCGGATTTCGCAGAGAAGCTGGGTCTCCCGTTCGAGTTCCATGCTGTAGCAGAGAAAGTCGGGAAGTTAGACCCAGAAAAGCTGATCGTCAACAAAAGGGAAGCCGTCGCCGTCCACTGGTTGCAGCATTCGCTCTACGACGTCACTGGATCTGATACCAACACCCTAAGCCTCCTGCAAAGGTGTCTTCTTTCTACCCATTTATTTTATTCCAAATTTAGATAAAAACAATTATTTATATTTTCATGCACACAGAAACACACATACAGTTCTTCTCCTTCTTTTTCACGTTTTTAGCTTCTACTGTGATGGAAACTGTTCTGATTTTAATTTTTTTTTCTCCTATTTACACTTTTTCTTGTTACATTTTAATTGAAAAAAGGGGTCTTTTTCAGTTTTTAAATTTTCTTATGAATTTTTTTTTTTTTTTATTTCCATGGGTGCAGATTGGGGCCGAAGGTGGTGACAGTGGTGGAGCAGGACCTGAGTCCGGCAGGATCGTTTCTGGGGAGGTTTGTG